TGAAAGTTTTAGTACTGTTTCTGTAAACAAGTTTTCTTAGAAAAAGATTTTTTAAAATTTAAATTGATGGTTCAGTTTATCATGTGCCAGGTCACAAAATTCAGCTACATTTGTTTTGCATTTAGTTCATTCCTGTAACAGTTCCTATCGTGAAACCCAAGGACAAGTGGTATTTTAATTTCTAGTATTCATTAGCAAGCATTGCCTCTGACACCTACCACAGCAAATGACTCTAGGTTTGAGCCAGGTTAGAAGAAAAAAACTTGGGCTTCCATGGAGAGGTAGATGGCTTCCCAAATTATGCTCACAGTCTTAATTTCTGCCAGATGTTCATTTTAGCCAGATGCATGTAATCATTTGGCTTTATTATTTCATGCATTTTTTTATTGAAAGTGTTGACTATTGAAAACTTGTGTGATTAGATAATGACTGTTATGGTGCATTGGACAAGAATGAGTAAGCTTCCTGCAATGTGTGTATCCCAACACAGGTTCCTCCCATTTGGGATGGAATTTATTTTGCTGGATTTGTATCAGTTCTTCTCTCTGGAGGTTTCAGGGAGCTTGCAGGCAGCTAACAGTTCTTAAATATTACATAAGTATTTGTGCTGTATTCCCCATTCCAGGAAAATGGAATGGGGAATAATGGGAGGAAAGTAATGTGAAAGCAATGACAGCAATTAAACTTTGTACTCTACTCACCCTCAACCCACCTCCCAAAGCTCACAGAAATGTTTTCCCTGCTCTTAGTGAAGGAAGGAGATTACATTTGGAAATCGCAGGTGTTTGACCCTGAGGAGTGCTTGGGGCAACGGCAGAGTAAGTGAGAACAGCCTTGGTCTTAATTCATAACCAGCTGTGTGACCTTGGGTAAGTTCTTAACCTCTCTGAGCCTCACTCATTAAAATGAGCTTTGGGCTGGAGGATTCTTAGGTTCCTTCTACTTCTTTGGATTCTATAATCCAGATATTTCAGAGCTTGAAAATGTTCTGCCCTTCCTTGGAAAGGGAACCCTGTATCTGGAAGATAGTGACTCAAAGGTAGGTGATCTGGACCGAGTTAGAAATGTCTGAAGCAGGAATCCATATATATTTTTAAACGTCTTCTCACTGTACTTCTGTTGAAATGTGCAGCCTACTTCCTCCTTCTCAATTGGCTTAAACATCATTCTTTGCCATCAGTCCTTTGTCTTTGGAAATTTCTGCCATTCCTTCAGATTAAACTCTCATTGTTTCTTCTGTGTTCCTTGGAATACTTATATTTTCTTTCCTCTAACCTGACTTTTTCTTCTCTTGGGCTCCTGCCTTTTCCTCCTGATGTGGAATCCCGTCACCATCACAGCAGTCCTCCGTAGCCTGAGACAGAACCTGCCCGTTCCTCGCAGGAGTGGGGTGTGGTCAGCCTTCTCTGCCTTTTCAGTTTATTAGCTTGCTGCCAATATTTCACTCACTCTTCATCAAAAATTATTTTCTGAGCACATTGATGTCACTCAACCAGGGTGCTAAAGAAATAAATAATTGCATCAACTTGACATTTTTTTTACCTTTGGACATTTGTCTCTCTTGAAATTTTTATTAAACTTAGCAACAATTTAAAAATAAAGGTAGTTTTACCCAGAGACTTTTGGAATGAATTTAGTAGAAGAAGATTATAGAAAAAGATTGTTTTAAATTTAAACTGATAGTTCAGTTTACCATGTGCTAGGTCACACATTAGCTACATTCATTTATTTTGCAATTAGTTCATTCCTGTAACAGTTACTGTTATAAAACCCAAGGACAGATGGTATTTCAGTGTCTCGTATTCGTTTACAAGTATTGTTTCTGATACCTACCACAGCAAATGACTCTCGGTTTGAGCCACGTTAGAAAAAAAATGTTTGGGCTGCCGTGAAGAGGTAGATGGCTTCCCAAATTATGCTCAGTTTTCATTTCTGCCAGATGTTCATTTTAGCCACACACACACGATCATTTGGCTTTATTGTTTGTCACATCAGATGAACTAGTAGTGTGTGTCATTAGTGGTTGTGTAAGAGAAGCTGTGTTACAACAGAAACTTTGGAATCCATAATCTTTGTTTTTCTTTTTAAGACTATTCATCTGACCATTTCTACCACTGACAAAACTGATTTTATACCAACTAGTACCTTAGCTGCCTTCCTGTCTACGTTGTATATTAGTATTTTTACATTTAATTTTCACAAGTTGTAAAGAACATTGTGGGTTCATTGGGCTACAAACATTTTGACCGTGGTCCTTCATAAGACAATTATTTCATTAAAAGTGAATTATAATTTATTTAGTAGCTCCAGATAAAAATGGTTGCCAGGTGGCAAATGGGTACTGTAAGATTTTAGGAGGACAAATTTCTTTGATATTTTAATGGAGAGAGTTTTCTGAGCTAATTTATTCATAGCATCTCTCTAAAGTGAGAGCTAATAATGATTTCCATAATTAATGAGTCAAATTAAAAAAACTTGACAGGTAGGTAACTTAGAACAGGGAAGGCAAAATCCTTATTGCGGAGAAGTTGTGTATCAGATGAGCACTGTGAAAAATGGCTTTACTCAACAGGTATTTTTAAATTGCTTCATGAACGGTCTTTAGAAGGTTAGACTATCTCCCAAAAGCTGTATGAAAAATGTTCCTTTTTAGAAATCTCTTTTAATAGAGCAGATCTGTTATTTTCAGCATTTTTCTTGAAGTGGCATTGCTCCCCCCAAATTAAGAACAAATACAGGAGACACTACCATCCCATTCTGATGATTGGTACAGAAGTGGAAATCTTAGAAGTGCCTGGAGGTCTGTAGGTGACCTCATCCAGAGGGCACAGCTCTGGAGGGCCTGCCCACCCACTGAAACAGGTCAGGGCAGCCCACAGTCTGGGTTATCATAGTCTCATGGAACTTTCTGTGTTGATGGAAATGTTCTCTAGTTGGTGCCATTCTGTAGGGTGGCCGCTGGCCATGGTTGGCTGTTGAGCACTTGAGAACTTGGCCAAGTACAGCTGAAGAATGGAACTTTTAACTTGATTTACTCTTAATATGTTCAAACTGCAATTGCCCTATTCTGTGTTGGACCATGCGGGTCCAGAGGAAATGGACTGGTACTTTATGCACCTGCTGATACTCTAGGACCTCCCCTGTTGACCTTGGCTTTGACACTTGGTTTGCAGAGGAAAAATATAAAATAGTGTGCTTTTCAAAGAAACTGAAGCTTATGCTATCAGAGGAAACTTTTCCATGGATTCTTCATCCCTCCCAGCAGTCTGCAAATCCACACCCCCCAAGTAAGCATGAATACTCACTGTGCGGTTTTCTAGGTTATCTGTAGCTCTGAACACATTAGATGTTCATTTCCACATTTTGAATTATGTATCCAAAGATAAGTGCCTACAGTCTCACCATGACTAATAACATTGGAGTTGCGTCCTTCAAGCTAATATGTGGATAGAAGTGTTGTGAATTTGGCAACAAAGGTGTTAAGGAGGAGTTGTGATTTAATAGGCTGCCAGCATGTCCTTTGAATGCCTTACTTTTGTTGCCTAAGTCTGTGTTTTGGCTTAAGGTCATGGGGTTTTGTGAGAAATTAGTGTACCGATATTTTGTTCTTGCTTTAAACTTTTTTGTATACTTACGGATACAAACTAAAGATGTCTTTTGGGAACCAGTGGTGTAATATGTATGAGGAGACTTTTCCTGTAAGGATGGCTTGTGTGAAATCTTGTATTTACCAAGCGAACCATGCAAAATGCTTGTCGTGTATTCAGTCATCCTAACTATTTCTGAGTACCTACTGTGGCAACTAATGATACTGTATTTTTCCCCCAAGCGTCTCTGACTTGTAAAACCTCTGACAGTTTAGATGGCAGAGTTGGGTGCGTGGTGGGAAGAACAGAGGCTGCTCTGGGAACCTAGAAGTCATTTCACCTCTCTTCTGAAAGATGAGGTGTTAACCCACACCATCTCCAAGGCTGTCTGTGCTCTTGGGCCCCTGGGGTTGGGGGTTGGGGGTGTGTGTGTGTGTCTTTTCTGCAGAGCCTTGATTATTAAAATAAACCCATAACAGAAGGGGATGGGAACTCTTGGGCAGTGTGGGAAGTGTAGGGATGGAGGATGTGATGGGGTGGGGAAGGGGCCAGCCCACGTCCAAGGTCCTGGCCCACACCCTCGCAGTGAGCCCACCACCCAGGTGTCATAATATCCTTTTGTTGGTGAGATGTGCTTTGGAGGCCTGGTGAGTTGCTCTGGAGACAGTGACCCTCCCGTCTGCACTCAGACTGCAGGGGCAGCAGCCCCTGTCCCTGGGTACCGTGGGCCTCCTTGCTCCATCTCTGCATCCCTGTTGTCTGCAGTGGGTGCCTCCCCCACGACTGGGCCTTCCAGCTTCAGGAAACTTGTTGCCTTTCTTGGGAAGCTCTCTGGTTCCCTCCCTTCAACTGCCACAGCAATCAGCCAGTCTGAGTGGGATGGGAGGAAGCACTGTGTTCCTTAAGTACAGACTAACAAGACAGGCAAGACTTCCCACTGTGCTGCTTTTCATCCAGAATCAAAGTAGACTGGTGAGATTTTTCACTCTACAAGTGCAACAGACTTCCCTGTTTCTTAAAAGAACATAGTAATCCATTATTAAATGCATGGAATAACGAAGTGGGATAATTCCTCACCTCCCGTGTTTAACCCTTACATCAAACATGGGTGAATAAATGTTTTTAATTGGATTGGGTGACTGTATATCAAAAGCAATTCAGCTCAGCTGTTGAGCTGAAAGCACATGTTTAAAATAACCAACACAGTTGACTCCCCTTGTTACCACCTGACCTGTGGCTTGTCAAAGGGGTGGGTGAATAATCAGGGGCAATATAAGGAGAGGCAGCCTCTGCCTGATCCTCGTCCATCACACACACCCTCCCCTCCCCTCTCTTTCCCTTTCCTCCCCTCCCCTCCCCTCTCCTCACTTACTTTTCTCCTTTCTCTTCCTCTTCTGTTTCCTTTTCACTTTTTACTTCATGTTTTACTTCTGTTTTCTTGTATTTTCTTTTTTCTTGCTGCTTCTCCTCTTTCACCTTCAGCTAAATCAAGACCTAAGCAGCATAGCCATGGATATCTGTAAGTTTTACTAATTTTAATGTATGAAATTAAAAAGATATGTGTGTATATATATATATATACACATATATTTATACATATAAAATATCTTCATATAGACATAAAATCTGTTACACAGTTCTGATGGCTTTTGAAATGCTGTTAATACTGTAGGTGATCTTTTAAAGATAATTGTTCCTGAAACATGGAATCGGATTTTTAGGCATCATTATATTTTATGGGGAACGGCTCTCATTTCTTGTGAGGGCCAAATTCATCATCTTTCCTCCACTGTTATGTTTCTGTGTGTACTATCTGCATGTATGTGTGAGTATTTGTGAATAACACCCGAAAATATCTACTTACTTTTTTTTTTTTAAGTGTAGTTTGCTACAGGTTATAAGAAGAAAGTGAGTACAGGACATCCTAGTTTAATTTTAGTAAAGCAAAAATGAAAATCAAACCTCAGCTTCTGCTTTGGTGTTTTGTTAACTCAAATTTAAAATTAGAAATGTGGTAACTATTTGGCAGTTCTGGCTTTCTAAGGGAAACCATATCATATTGTATGTGTGTGTGTGCTGGCCTTTAAAAATAGATACTGCCACAAAGTGATGGGCTTCATCCTCTATACTCATAGCCAAGTCCTGCAAATCGGTGGGCTTTGTAAACAGTGGCTGTGACTTTGGGACTCTTCCAGGGAGCATTAAACACCAGCTCTGGCTCTGTTCTGTTCATCTTTAGTCAAAACTCTTTTGTTTTAAAAGCTAACTGCTGAAGAGTAAACACTCTTGACCCTGGTCATAAACATTTGTCATACATCTGGTTAGTTTTTATCTCACTGACCAAAATCGTTTTGGCAGAAGAGTCATTAAAGTTGACAGCCCAACAAATTACACAGAATCCCTCATTTTTCTCAGGCATTGACCGTGACCTACAATCCATTGGAAAACATTTCTTGCCTGGTTCTGAAAATCTCCTTAAATGTATATTCTTGAGCAAATGAAGTATATAAAATAACTTAAACATGAATGACTGAGAAAAAATGTTTTTGTGCATGTCTTCTGTTGGTCCTCTGAGGAATTTAAAGAGGATCATGAATTTTAGATTTTATGATTAGACTTCAGAGGCCACAGCCTTGCTCCCCTTCTGTCTGATTATCTTTTTGCTGGGGATTTGATCGCTGTCATTCTGGGCTCCCTCGGTGACACCAAGACCACTGGATTGCAAGTGGCCATTTGTAGCACAAACCTGACCCTCATCATGTTTGTTGATGAGCCCGCGAGTGCTTGATGCCCTTGCTCTGCATTAAGTTGTCAGCTGAAGGGCCACGCCTGGAACCTGGAACAGGGGCAGGGGGATGGCAGAGGGTTTGAGGCGGAGGCTGGCCCTGGAAAGGCCCAGTGGTTCTCCTGGCTCTGCCTTGGCAGTAGTATCTGGATAGCCACCGAGCAGAAGGCCTTCAGGTTTTGTCAGCTGAGAGGATTCAGGCACTGTAGGTCTGTGTGCGAAGCAGACCTCGGCAGGGCTTGGGTCTGACCCTGCTTTGACTTTTGCTTTGTGCAGACACTAATCCAGAAGAATTCTGCCTGAGGCCCCAGAGGCTGGGCCTCTCTCTGCAAATGGGTCTTGACATGTCAGGTTGCTGCAAACAGCCAGTCAAAGTCAGGAAAGAGTCTTTTCATTTCCATGGCTTTATGGGCATAAATTTTGACAAACTATACCATAAATCCCCCATCCCTAACAATGATGTGTTCAGGTCTTGATTTTTAATCTGAGATCTTGAATTGTGTGCAGCTGTTGGATCTTGTCTTATTATGGCCTTTATGTAAAAGCAAACATTAAATTTTCTTCCATCCTGAAGGAGGCTGGATTTCCCAGCCTCCCACGAGATTCGTCCTGTGCCCTCTCGCTTAAGGGAGCCCCTGCCCCACAGCAGAGCATCCGCAGTCATTTTATCCCAGGATTCGTGGTTCCTGCAAGTCTGTGTGGCCCATGACTTTGACTATGTTTTAGACTTGGTCAGATCAGACAAGCATTCATCTTCTAAATCAGATGTCTCCATTTGCCATCAAATGGGGCCTGTGTAGGTCAGCCTTAAACCCCATGCCCATGGAGAGCTGCACAGATACTTGTTTGAGAAAAATCTGATACCTATTTGAACTGTGGAGCCACCAGCACAAGTACACTGTATCTTAGAGGGCACAAAGAAGCCACATGGCATGGTCACCTAGGAGGACCTCCAAGGAATTTCCAAAAACAGTTTACTTTTGCATACCATATATAGTTTTTTAGTTAAGCAGACAGAATTTCTTAATGTGAACTTGCTTCTTTCATTGACTTGGATTTAAATAGCTAGGCAACAGCATGAAGAACATTATACACATGTACACACACACACACACACACAAACACACTCTTCTTACCTGTGGAGCACCTTGGCACATGAGAGAATATTCTAGAGCCAGCCAGCACCCTGGCCTCTTTGTGGACCTGGGCCTGGGCAGAACAGCATTGCTTGAGTGCACTCTGCACTCTTTCTAGGATTGGGCAAAAATATTGACTCTAATATTATTGACATTTAAAATAAAACTTACTGCTCTTAAGAAAAATACATGACCTGCAATGTGCTTTACATAAAACAAAAACAAAACAGTGCGTTATTCTAGTAAGTCCTAGTGTCAAGTTAACAGCTTTCTATGTGAGGTTTGATCTGAGATCTGTCTTGTATAGGACTTTATTGTCAATTTTATTTGATTTGGGAACAGATTGCACATATGTAACTCCAGTGTTTTAGAACAGATTTACACATTTTTTGTCTTAGCTAGAAATACAGTTTCCTTGAGTAGTAAAGGTTTGGTAAGCCACCTACATGTAGGTTGAAACAACAGTGAGTGGATAAAGATTAAAACAAAAACTAGGTCCTCTTTAGAAGCACATTATTGAGATGGGATATTATGTGATTTATTGTAAACTATGTAGGAAAAGCATCAAAGTCAGTTCAAACTTGCTGAAAAGAATGTGAGGAAATCAGCGTGGAAATTTGGAGTATAATGAACTCTTAATTATTCTGAAGATTGGCTATTTCAAAGTTGCAGTGGCAGATATTTTTAAGCACATCTAACAGGACTTGGAAAAATGTGCTTGTACTTATATTTGATATTGGTATGTCTGATATTTAGGACCCCTAATCATTACCCCCAGTAATTGGTACATAGCAGGTGTTCAGTGAATAGTTGTGCAGTGAAGAAGTTAATGAATGAAACACACACACCCACACACAGAGGATTAAGCTGAAAGTCTGTTTGATGTCCTCATCTGCCAAGCTCTATAGTGAAAATTTGCTTTGTAACAATTCTGATTCATTCAAGCCTTCTCCAGAAGGAAAGTAATTAAGTTGATTTTGTTTTAAACAGTTCCATTTTTGTACTGCAGTTGACAAGGGAGGTTTAGCTTTTAACCAAATGAGTAATTAAACACAGAAGGTATTGCCAGTAAAATTGAAATAAAGTCTGTGATTTAATCCTTGCAGTATTGAACTTGCTCTGTGTATTGGTGGGGAAAATATGCTAAATAATAACACTGTTGATTTCTTAAAAATAACTGAGAGAATTAGGAAAATTTTCAAAGAGTGAAAAGGAAGGTGACAAATGTCTAGAAAATTATTTAATTAAATCTAAAGTAAATGAGATAAGATCACTGTGATATGGTAATTTTTAATAACAGCAATTTAAAAATTGGTATGTTCCTTAAATGGACACTGTCTTTTACCTTAAAAGGTTTGCTAATGTGATTCATTTATTTGGAAGTTCAAACCTGATGTCTGACTGCAGGCTCTCTCTCTGGCCCCTGGAGTCAAACTGTGTGGGTTCAAATTCCAACACTTTTAGTTACTGCTTATATTAGCATGGCCAGGGAACTCAATCTTGCCTCAATTTCCTCATCTGTGAAATGGGAGTGATAATAGTACTTGGCACACAGAGTTGTTAATGCAGATTAAATGGGCTGATATACTTAAAACATTTAAAACAGCATTTGCCACATGGCTGTTATTGAGAGATGATTATTATTAATCCTGATTAGAGCAAAGATAACTTACAGGTTTCAATTTTAGCCTGAAAATGTAAGGATTTTTTTCAACGAATTTTATTGCAATATAGTTTTTGTAACTTTGGTGTTAAAAGTAACCTGTGATTTCCTTGCAATCTAGGTAGATGATTTCCTATCCTTTTATTTTAAAAATTGTTTAAAAAATATTATCTTAGTAACAATAATAGGATATACCTATCCTTGAGGCTTGAGTGGTCATTCCAAAGCTAGTTCCCTGAGAAGGTAGAGCTCAGTATGTCAGATTTAACCCATATTCTGTAGCTGGTTCCCTCTGGGAAAGCCTTGGTCATAACTCTTACACATTCCAGAAGGGGAAAGGAAAACTTTTCTATTTATGTGGAGTTGTGTAGGTATTTGAAACCCATATATAAAATGATTATCTGGATTTTAGTACCCTTAGGTGGGTTTGTTTAAAAAAAATACAGAAAAGAGATTTTTTTATTCAAATGTCAAGTTGCAGGTGAATATCTGCATATTTATTCCTCTAAAGAAAATTCTGGATTAATTGGGATAAAATATTTCAACTAGAGTCATACATCGTCTGTTTGAAATAGGTCATGGTTCATCACAATGATTATTTTCTAAAATGGAATGATCATTAGACTCATTTGTTAAAGTTCTTGAAAAGTACAGTTTGCGGGCCCCGCCACAGACCTATCTACTCGTAATGAGAGGATAGGGACTGTGATCCTTCCCCAGGCAATTCTGATGCTAGACCAGTGGGTATTACAGGCACTGGCCTCCTGTCCCTCCCTCCACAGCACTTGGCCCAGTGCCAGCCAGCCAGCTGGGATGGGAGTGGACCCACATGCAGGGGGCTTTGTGAGCATTGTTCTGATCAGCCATACAGTCAAGATGTAAGTGACTAGGAAAAGCACGCTTCCGGAGGACCTAAGGATATTTTGAAAACAGAA